AGAAGAAATTCTAAAGATGATAGAAATGGGAGTTGTTATTTTATTCATTCAAAAAACATCAATATATAGTACAACTCAATAAACTAAATATGTAAAGATAAATAACAATTTCTAATATTAAGCACATCATCATAATCATCAATCATCTTGATCTTAATGATTTCTTGCTTTCCTCCATCATATATTTTATTGCTGTTAATAGTTATTTGTGTCCTAATTCATGTTTTGAGCTTATATTGAATTGGGAAAAAAATTGAATTGTCATATATATATTTTTTATGTAAACATAAACATTTTTTATGGATAATTCAAATCAAAGTAATTGAATGTCGACCTAAGCAAATCAATAGATCCGGGCCTGTTAATAGAAATAGAAAAAAGTACCCTAAACTCTACATTTTAAATATCAATTTCAAAAATTAGATATTTGTATTTTTCTTTCAATAATTAGGTATAAAAAAGTATTTAAAAATTTTATATCTCATTTATGTCTCCACTATTCTCTCTAATATTTCTCCAATAACGTTTGCACTCCCCATATCTATCACCATCCACACACGTGGTTGAGGAGTTACAGTACGACAATGCCATCTTCCTCTTTGACATTGCCACCGTTGGCCACACGTGGATCTATCCGTTTACAGGCAGATTCAAACTCCACGTTATTGATATGGGATCAATTCATTATTGCGAGGTGAGGAGAAATTTGGGTAGTGTGTTTTGGAGGTAGCGACAGAAGGAATCGGTTAGCGATTGTGATCCAATGTTCCAGTATGGGATTTTGTTATGAATTTATGGTGAATGTGGTGGTGGTGATGGTTTTGGATTTGATGTGGATGTGGTGGTGATTATTGTAAAGACGACACTATAGATGGTGTTGATGGTTGTGGAGTTGGTGGATTGAAGGAGGTGGTGGTGGGTTGTGGTGTAGGAAGTGGCGGTGCATTGGTTGTAGTAGTGGTACGTTGGAATGGTGGTGGATTGTGGATACGAGGCGATGTGGCATTTTGAGAGGTGCCAACGGTGGTGGAGTGGGGTGCATAAGGTGGGGGGGAGATGAAAAGTAATTTGTGATTACTTGTGATTAATTGTGATTAATTAATTTGTGATTGATAAATAAGTTGTGATTAATTTTGATAATTTGTAATCAAGAGATAAGTTATGACATATAAAAATGTATAATTCGTGGCTAAATATATAATTATGACACATATTCTATGTCTTTGTAACTGTAACGTTTTGTGATTACGACTAGTACGTAATTATGATCATAAATTATATATTATTGTGATTTTGATCTATTTAATTAATATCACTTTATTTTTGGAAAAAAAATTACAAATTGGTCAATTTTGAAAATGTATATTTACAAGTTGATAGTCGTGTATTTTTTCCATGGAAATACTCGACCTTAGTGGTATGCTAATTGAAATTTCAATAAAAAACAAAACATAAAAAGTCGCAATACTGCAAAACTGCGACTCTCACATTTCAAAGCCCTCCTCCAAAACGAATTTGTGCAAATTACAGAAAAAAAAATGAACTGAGATTGACGATTCCATGAAGATACGGTCCCTTCGATCACTTGAAAAAAATTTAAAATCGAGCCTCAGCCTGGACGATATAGGAGAGGACCTAATTCAGAATGTACTAAGCCGGCTGCCGGCACAATCCTTCGCATCGGCGGCGTGCGTTAGCCGCTCCTGGAACTCTATTTGCAATCGGATCCTCTTTTCTTCCCCTAAACTTTCATCGGCCATTTCTTTCAACCCTTTACTCGAGGTATGTAATTAGTAATTTGAATGCTAAAATTATTGTGCTGATAGTGTTTTGGGAGGTGGGATGTATGTGGACTCCGGGAAATAAGATCTTTTTTTTTTTTTTAATTGAAAAATTAGCAAACAGTTTTCATAGGTTTTTCCTTATTTCGTTATTTTTTCACTGGAGCCTAATTATTCGAGGAAGTCCCATTCTCGCGAGTTTTAACTGAGTATCATGTTTTCCTCTGCTTAAAAGCATGCTTTTCTGGACAGCATGTGTCGAAAAATGTATAATCTGTTAGAGCACAATCAATTGACGCACTCAATCGAATTCTATTATCTGTTCGAGCTTGATGCGATTGCTTAACGATACATGATCGAATACTTTGCTCTTGATTTTTGAAGATTCATATTTGACTCTAGCCCGATTGTTTGCACTACTTGAAGCCCCCAACCTGTTTTCTAAGATGTTCTTTCTTTTTCCAATTTGAGAATCAATCGTTAAGAGAGGAACCACCGCTCGAACTGAAAAGATAGTAGTAAAAACAAAAAAATTGTATCTTTTGCTACACTATATTCCAACCAAGTAGGATGCTCATCATACCACGAAACACAAAATCGTCTATCTTTGTTACCCATTCTTGTGGGTGGAAACGCATGATTGCAAAGCTGACAAGAACTCCTTTGCACATATGCTCTTCGAATCACGTCTCGATCATTAATATCATAATTCTGTATTGGAACTCTCAATTCTATTTGTAACATCAACATCCCCGACTCCTCCGGCATCCCCAACTTCTCCAACATCAATATTATTTTTATCAATTTTGTATTGAACATTCATTTCATCAGTATTTTGCTCATCATAAGAAAGCATTGATTTACGTTTAAAGTATTTGTCCATAATTGATACAAATAAAAAAATCAATCACATTAGAAGTCCCTAAATCAGAATTGCCTTCTCAATAAATGAAGTCTCGTCAAAACCCCTAAAATCCCTGAAAGCCCTAATTAGAAATCCCTAACTATCAATTTCCAAAAATCCCCAAAACCCCTAAATCAGAAAACACAATTAACTTATTGTTATTAACATGGTATGAAAAACCCTGCTGAGGCCCGCCTCACTGTGAGGCGCAGCTTCTGCGCCTCGAGGCTCAATCTGTGAGGCAAAAAAAATGAGGCGCACGCCTCTACATCTGAGGCAAAAAAAATGAGGCGTGCGCCTCATTTGAAGTATGTTTTTTTCAGGTTTTTGAAAAGGAATTAAAAAAGGCCCTCTTTAAAAAAGAGAATGACCCATTTAAAAAGACATTTTGGGCCAAACAAAATATTAAAATATCTAATCTAAAATACTAAAAAGCAGCCAAAAATTCTTCTTCACGGTAGACAAAAATCTTCCTAAATGGCCAGAACTACACAGCAGTCAGAAATCTTTCCAGAACTAAACGGCAGCCAGAAAACTTATCTTCAATCCTTCGCTTAAAAGAGGTCCTCAAGTGCTGCTTCTATGTCTCTTTTCTCCTTTGCTTCTGCCTTCTTCTAGTGACTTACAATTTATAATTGTTTCACTAGACTTTGCTTGGTGTTTTTCTTGTTCAGTGCAGCGACGCCAAATAGCACCCATTCTGTGCTGTAGATTACACCTGTTTTGTTTGTGGTGAGGCTTATGCCTTAAAACGCTTTGAGGCTTACATCTCGCCTCATGACAAAAAAAGGCCTCAGTACCCGTTTACGTTTTTTCAAACTATGGTTATTAATGTGAAACTTAATAAGAAACTCAATAATCTTATTATAATTGCACATGTTATTAATGTGAATCGGAAAATCCATTCATAAATCTTCAAATATATAGAAACAAGAGTTTCATTTACAGAATATATATATAGAAATCCATACTCATAAAATGTCTCTTTTTTATGAAATAACACAACAAATATTGAATTTGATGACTTTCATTTTGAGAGGAAAACCGGAACTTACCTCATCATAGGAGCAGGGCAACAACCAGGAGAGTGCTGAGTGCCATGGGAGACCGAGAGAGGACGGGCGGAGCTTGGAAGTTGGAATGGGCGGAGCCACGGAGCGGGAGAGTGGTGGCCGGGTGATGGTGTGTGTGGTGTGGGAGAGTGCCGTGGGGAGAGGACGGGCAGAAGTGGTGTCACTGGTGCGGCCGTGCAGGAGACGGGAGAGAGGAGAGGAGAAATGAGGAAATGATTTTCAGATTTGTGGTGCAGCCATGCGGGAGACAGGAGGAGAAATGAGGCCTCAGGGTTTGAATTCCAGAATTTTTTCTTTCCATATTTAAAAAAATAAATAAATAAAACTTCAAAATCTAGGGGGTCACGTGACCCCCTAGGCCACCCCCCCGGTCCGCCCCTGGTTTTGAGCATGACTTCAATGCATTTAAATTATTAGTTTTGACGTATATGAAATGTAAGAACTTGATAATTGTTCCACAATTATCATCAGATGACTGAAGATATTTATTTATTTATTTTCAAATTAGTAGTGTTCATTCAAGAGCCTTCACATATTTGTAGTTTTTGGGCAAGTTTATTTGTCATGTTATACTCTGATTGCTATCATTAATATTATATGTTCCTTGAACGAAAGTACCATATATCACAGTAAAATGACTAAAAATTTAGGCATGACATTCAATTCAAATGGACGGCATAATATTCATTTTTCATTTTCTTCTATTTTGTCCCCATCTTATCTTGGTTCTTCATTTAATTCGTGTGCTGATAATTGTAGGATGCTGTGAGTGAAGTTGTGGAGAAAGTTTTATCTAAGCCCACGCGGCCCCATTTTGTCCTGGCCTCCATTGGCCCCTCGTTTAGCTTGCGACAAGCTCACCAATTAGTATGATTCACCTCTCTCCATATGCATCTGTGTGTATGCACATGATTTTCAATTCATTGCAAGCCAGTTACTTGGTAAAAGTTGATCTTATGCAGATTAATGGAAATTTCGGTTTCCACATACCTGTAGTTGTCAATGTATCAGAGGGGATTATTGGGAGGGATTCACTTACAGATGAGTTTAGAGAGGTAATCTCTGATGATCATGGTAATTTTCAATTGATAACATCATGCAAACAAGCTTCAAATTTTGAACCACAAGGTTCCCTGTAATTCCATAATACTGTGTGCTTTGGTGATTGCACACTTCTCAGGCACATTGAAGCATGTGATTATGGACATATTTTTGTTGTTCCCTTTAATCTCTAAGTAGGGAGATTGAATTATTCGTTTCTTTTTTCTCGGAAAGAGGAAAAAGCTCTTGTAACTTGTTATCGATGTAGGTTCAATGGGAAGTAACCGAGGAGGAAGATCTTGCTGGGGTATTGCAAAATGAGAATGTGAACCGAGGCATCATATTGACAGTTGGTTTTTTACCAGGATTAAAGGCCAGTATAATCCCTTTGTTATTTGAAAAGAAGGTAAATCTAATATATATAGGTGGGGGGAAAATGGGTTTTGCTTTCTTCATCAATTGATTTTCATTTTAAAGTCTATAATTGCTCAGAAATTTACATGTTTGCATCAGGTTCCATGATAGCTCTCTTTATTATTTTAATGTTTAAAAATTATAATTTCTAATTTCTCATTGAGCTAGTAAGCAAAGAGTAATTTCGATATTTTACTTTTGGCATAATTTAAATTGAAATGGTTGTCAAATGTCAATATCAGGATCCTCGAAGGTTTCTTATTGATGAATTTGTGATCAGTATCAAGGAATACACCTCTTCTGTTTCAGGGCACGCTTCTCCTGGTGGAATCTTGTTGTTTACTGTGAGTTGATACTCTTTTATATAACTTATTCTGCTGGCTATTGTAAATTCACCTGGTTTGTCTTTATCTGATAAAATTCGCATGTGCTTATATTATTTTGTCATCCATACTAACTTTTTCCCAAGTTTATATACCCCGGCCTCTTCAATTTAGTTTTCTTTTCACTCTCAACTTGGCTTTAACAACCTTCTCTTGCGTAATTCACTGACAAAAGTGGATACCAAATCGTTTTTACAACTTATTGAGTACATTCGTCCATTTTTCACAAAATGACCAAAGGATGGGCTAAAGCACTTCAATGGTTGAAGACAAGTTGAGAAAAATCTAGTCGAAGGGCAATGCGAACTTCTTATAATTTTTAAGAAGCATTTATGTACTTTATATTCCAAAAATTTTTCTTCCACGAATTTGTTTCTTACATGGGAATCAATGATGTGCTAGGACCGAGCAACTGACATCAAACCTGTGCTTCAAAAGTTGGGTGAGTAACGAAATTACATCCATAGTTATGTTAAAATGTTCAAGAAAGTGAAACTGAGGATCAGTACTTGGTACTTGCTGACTAATATCCATAGTTATGTTAAAATGTTCAAGAAAGTGAAACTGAGGATCAGTACTTGGTACTTGCTGACTAATATAAACAGCCGAACCTGCACTTTTGTCTTTGAGGTTTTATAAGAATTTGAGATGTATATTTTTTTGCTGTTTCTTGTTTGCAGATTATGCCTTTTCCTTGGACACTGTCATTGTGGGTGATGGGGGTAGTAAATTCTTATATAGAAGTGATGACGGAAGCTATACCACCAGGGTTCCCGCGGTTGCTCTTTTATTTGTGAACGAAAGGAACAAGCCTCCAGGTGAGTTTATTCTTCACTTCATCCCTAAAAGCAACATTTAGTATTAAATACCACAGAATTGAAATTGTTAATACTTCAGCTGTCAAGAAAGTGTTATGTGCCACTAGGTAAAGTGTTCTTTCTTTATTCTTTGTCGAGTTAATTAATACCAACACCTCCTATTCTGGCTACATGTCAATGTGCAGGTATAGGGGAAACTAAATTTCATGTCATGATATCAACTGGCCTATCACCACTTGGTTCCACATACAAGGCAGTATCTGTTAAATGCAATAAAACTTCAACATGGCTTACTGCCATCAGAGATACTCTTCATGAAGATCTTGATGGCCAAAGTATTTTAGACGAGATCTATGATGAGGTATCATCAACATTCAAACTTTACACTTTCTGTAGTTACTCTAACCAGGCGAAGTAAATGTGGTTTCATGGAATGGACGTGGTTGGCATGTTTTTGGTATTAGTGGAAGAACTTGTAGCTTGACGTGTTAGTGGTAGAGCAAATTTTGTAATAATCCACCAATGCATTGATTCAGGTGACAGTAATTGCCAATCACTCATTACCATATAGATGTTTTAAATTTAAACAAGTAATCACTATCTTTTTGTCCCACTTATTATTGAGTAGTCAAAAGTCTGTATTCTGCACTATTTTTTTCAGATAGAGTTGCTGAAATATTCTTTCAGTTTTTTCTAATAGCTGTAATTCACAACAGCTCGGAGATCGTATTCAATTTCCTGTTTTCTACCTAGGAGTAACGAAAAGAAGGAGGTGCTCTGTTGGGCTGGAAAAAGTAAGACGAATAACATTTCATGAATTTCATGAAGTTTTGAGGTAAGTCAACCCCTTGCTCAGGTTCTCTTTTCTTGATATTCACTATAGTCACTCAAGGAATTGAACACTGAATTATGAATTGGTAGTGATTGTCAATAAATATCATAGTTTGGAACGTCAAAATATAAGTTTAGGTAGCCTGCTCAATATTGGTCTGGGATTAGATTAAGTGATTTATGAAATGTCAGTGTTTGTGAGGAAGTATGATGGAGTATATGAGAAAAACCTGTTAAGAAGATTGCTCTCGCTCTCTACACAATAAATGTATCTATTAAAAGAAGGACAATTCTTGTGGTACATTATGGGATCCATAAGGGTCTACATAATGGACACTTTGCGGCCTACAATTGGTTGGAGTGCCTGTGGGACTGGCACTCCAACCAATTGTAGGCCGCAAAGTGTCCATTATGGATCCCATAATGTACCACAAGAATTTTCCTTAAAAGAATGTACCTTGAGAAATTTCTGTGAGCCCAATTTCGGTAGTCAAACATCTAATTTGGTTGCCCCATTGACATTATACCTCATAAAAGTAATAATAAGATCTAGAAAGCATGCCCCCGCATATACCACATTGAAAGGAAAAACATTGTGTCTGCATGTAATAACTAATAAGGTGACGTTTTCTCAGGTGGAACACTTTTTAGGATTACTTGTGCATTTTCCAATGTCTGGTATGCTAAAGAAAAATTAGTTACCGCAAATTCCTGGTTTCGAAGTAAAGCCAAGACAATTTAGTGGATGAGAATGTTCTCTTTTGTCCCTCTCCATCAACTAGTTGAAATAAACTAAAGCTAGTGTTGATAATATTTGATACTTTGATATTTTTATGCTATTCTAGTTTTACATTATTAAAGCTTATTTAATAAACTTTTGAGCATGTTATGGTCAATTGATATGATGCCTAAAAGATGAACTTTGCGATCAATCTACAGTGTCTGTATGATGACAAATTAGCTGGTTAAAATATTTAAAATTGTTTGAAAATAAAATGCTGAATCTTATTCCTAGTAAAGAGGGTCCACTCCTTTTCATATCTTTTTCACATTTTTTATTAGCATATGGCTACATCAACTCGAAGATGCTGAGCTATATAATTTTTCTTTCCTTTATAACCAGTGCAAGAAATGAGTATATGTTCTCTTGTTTGTCAGTGGAAATGAAGAGTATCTATTTGTCAAGTCTGACGGCATTAAATCTGGAGATCTCTTTCGCTTTTACCTCTCGGATTCTAAAGCTGCATTATCTTCTTGCAATGAAGTCTCTGATAAACTCAGACATTTGAAGCTAGATAGTTGTAACTACACAGATGACCGTGTTGGTGGCAGTGTCACTAATGGTAAGAAGAGGGAAGTCTTTGGTGGCATTGTCTTTTCTTGCTGTGGTCGAGGTGACTCCTTTTTTGGACAACATCGTATTGACAGCTCGCCTTTTCTGGAGAACTTTCCGGGGGTTACTTTTGGAGGAACTTATTGTAATGGGGAAATTGGACGGGGAAATTTGAGCTTGTACGGGCAAGGCAATGAAGAAGGTGGAGATGCACGTTGCTCTTGGCACGCCTTTAGTGCTGTCTACCTAATCATGTCGTATACTCCTCCACTGCCGCAGGGTAAGATTGTGAGCACCGAACCTGGTTGTTCGAGTTCAAATCAATGGTTTGTGGATCGTGAGCTCAGAACCTGACATGAGAATATGAGCTGGTGATCTTGTTGTGCTTGGACTGGAGTACATACATCCTTGTGATTTTGAAAGACAAATCGAACAATATCTATGGGTATTGACTTCTGAATATGAATTTACTGAAATAATGCAGTGTTCATGGTGAGACTGATTAGGTTGGTTTATTTCTAAAACATGTAACTCATTCATGGAAATTTATCTTCACATTCTCAAACAAGGAAAGAGATAAAACAATGTTCTCTTAACAAAGTGCTTCCAATCTTGTTTGAGTATCAATATCTTCATAGTATTATCTACATTGATGATTTTTGTGATTAAATTGCATGAAAAAGAAAACAAATTGAACAAAATAATACAATTAAATCTTATTTTGTCTTTTCTCCTCCATCTAGAGGTTTACTTGAAACTCATTTAGGCTTTTTTTCCTTTATTTGTTTGCTTTCTTGAATGGAAGTTGTCTTGTTTGATTCCCATTTTTTTAAAGTATATTTTTCTCTCGTATTTTTGAACCATATATTCGTCAATAGAATAATATTATACTCAAATCTAAAAAATTTCTTTATTTTTTAATCATACATTCTCCATCGATCTATTATTTCAAAATGTATTATACACAAAAAATTGGGCTCAAACAAATTTCCAACGCCCCCATAAATATCAAATTTGTTTAACAATCTCCAGTAAATTTAAGACAAATTTCCATGTAACCCTTGTGATATTTATGATGTGAATATGCAAAAATGTGTGAAAATTTGGAATATTTAAATATGAAAAATGCTAGAAGTACACGAAGGTGTACATAAGGGTGTCCGTAATGAACACTCGGCGCCCTCCCATTGGATGGAGTGTTGGTGGGTCCGGCACTCCCTCCAATGGGAGGGAGCTGGATGTCCATTATGGACACCCTTGTGTACCTGTAACACATCTCTTTAAATATTGATCACACGAAACAAACTTTATTGACAATTTGTACTTGACATGTACGAAATAAAATAGGCCAAAATTTAATTAGTGTTCAAGTGATTGAAGGCATTAAAATAATAGTAATCATTCAAAAGCAACAATTATTCATTTAGAAATGAGAATTTAATAATTAAAATTTCAAATCTAGGTTTCATCTTCATTCTAGTATATATTAAATTAGCCACAACCACCGGGTTATATGAACGCAAATTTGAATAGTAAAACATTGCCAGAATTTGAAATAATGGAAGAAAAATCGAAGATTAATCGTGAACTCTTGAATCTCTTCGATTGAACTTGAATTATCTTCTTTCTCCTCTTTGCTTAAATTCCAAGAAACCCAGATTGGGTGAACTTTCATTGCAAGATTGTTATGTTATTATCTCCATTATTGTTCCTTCATGAAGCACTAGGATTTTGGAATATGTAGATCTGATTTTAGAACTAAAAAATCGTGCAAAGACCTCCCATAACAAGCCTACAAAAGTTACCAAATAAAACCAATCGCACATAATATTGGATTACTTCCTAGGGATCGCGACTTAGCTTGATGTTAATGTCCATACCTGTTGGGGACGATCAGAGAATCCTGGTTTGACAAGGGTTAATGGCAGCACGTTCGCGCATTCAGTAAAGAACCTTATTAGCTTAGTTTTTTGGCTCTCCACTAAGGTTGATTACAATCCTAGCCGTTTGTTTATGAACGTAGGGGACGAAGGTAATAACATCAGACAATCACATTGTTGTAATTTTAGTAACATTGTGAGGATAGTAACCCAGTGATAATATCCGTTAGGCTGTAACTTTGTGAAGATGACAATGAAGATTTAGCTTCGCTATTGAAGGTGAGAGTTATAAAAATTGTGATTCCTCTGCCAAAAGGCGTTTAATCATATCATTTGGATTTATTGTTACTAAATTTATTATAAAAGGGACATGCTTGGCCAGTAGCCAGCCAGCCAGTTCACCCGAGGAGTCCGATCCTCGACAGCTAGTTGTATGCACAAATGTACAATTCTTAGAGGCCATGGGGGCACGGGGCACCTAAGGTCCTACTTAGGCACCTCCAGGGAGAGCTAAAGTACCCGCATAGTGTTGGGAACCCATCGGGCATCGTTAGGACTATGTGTCCTTCATTGGCACCTAAAAGGGCCACGAGGTTATCAATAGAGCATTGCTATGCTGAGGGGCTATGAGAGGTGTACAGTAACACCTTTATGCCGAATGAGCTATCAAAAAAATAACTTTAAAAACCTCGTATGCTAACTTATGTGCATTGACTTGGTGTTCTAGTCTTGTCACGTGGGTCTGTTGGCTAGAAATGCGATTTGGACGATGCTGCATAGTTGGGTGAATGGGACATGTTGACCCCAAAAAACATACCGGTGATGTGACCAACAGATCCCAAGGTCTCTCATGTCCACGCAAGTCGGGTTCTTGCACACTTGGACAAACCGTTAGTCACATGTGACCTTTTCCATGAGGTGTGGAGTTGGTCGCGGCGCACTCCGACAGTCAAGTTAGCTTGTGAAATACTTTTGGGTATGTGAGAGCTTTAAAAGTGAACCCTCAATATAAAAATGGGGGTCGGCTTTGGGGTGGAAAAGTAAAATGTGTGTGTGGTAAGAATATAGTTTTGAGAGTTTAAACTTGCATTATATTTGAATAGCACTAAGTGTGAGTTTTTATACTTGGGAAAAATGAATGGAGTCCATTGGATGATAGTGCACATGGCCTCATCCAAACAACTTCCCTCTTTTGTCATATATATCAATCAATCACAGCATCAAATGCTATGACTACTTTTGTGTCCATAAAGCCTAGCTTGTACTTTAGACTTGACCAAATAGGATGACGGCGGTGGCGGTAAGTTGTCTTGTCAACCTACATGGTGTGAGATCCATTTAAGATCTCGTCACTACCTTGTCTTAGGCAGGCTCTGGTAATGGGGTTTGCTTGTAACAGGTTCGGTCCAGGTATTTTATGTGGGGAAGACGAGTCATTCGCACCTGAATCGGTTTGCCTGCATGTAGCTGGGCTATCCTATGCTAGTATATGAGGCATGGGCCCCCGAACTGTTCGCCACGTAGGCCAATTGGGTCCCTTCATGGGTCCTAGTTTTTCAAGGCGTATCAGGACATGATTCTAATATAGAGGGAATGTGTATGCATGAACTAATGGATGACACTACTTGGCGAGATATTGACTAAAGTCATTGGACAATGGACTTGCATTGAGCTAAAATGCCTATAAGAAGTTACAAGCGCAAGAATAACGTCGTGGGACATGCGAGTTCCTTTCCGTCAAGTATGCTTCGAAAGAACTATATGTTGTACTTGAGCATTTAAGCAAGCTAGATAAGTTAGGATCAACATATTGGGAGCATTGATGATGATGTGCATTGTGAATAGTTGAACACCTTGGCACCGAGTGCAATGGAGGGATGCATTAAGATGTTTACACGCTAGCAAGCTTTGTGAGTGGAAATGCTACTGCATGTCTAGACTTGTGTTGGAAGAAGGCAAAAGATAGTCGAGTGGGGGAGAGAATACTACGACACAGACGAAAAATAGTTCTGTTGCAAGACTCAAAGAGCCGGCCGTGACATTGCAGCTCGAGATGGAGATTCATCCACTTGAGTAGACAACACCATTGATTTTTTTCCCTTGGGTCTGCCATGTAGACATCTTTCCTTTCCTAGCGACTGATATTCAATCGACCATTAACTTCTCGTAGGAAAATATCATTTGACTTTGTGAAGAAGATTATTAAAATCAGATTTTAAGTGAATCGTGATAGAAGTTTTTAATATATGTGGTTGAAAAGATGTGGGCCCATGAAAGATGTGGTTGATATTGATTGTTTGACTTAGACTTAGATTAAAATCAAATTTTAATCTGGCCCAAATAGACCCATATAAAACTTTGTTTCATAATTTCCCCACGTGCTCCACATATTGGTTCTCTTTTTCACTTTGATTTTAGGTCCCAATTGTAGTCCTCAATACCCCTCCAAAACACCTTGTTTCTGTTGGGAAATTATTTAATTTCCCGTGATGGGCCGAAATATGTAATTAACTGTGTATAAATGCTATCTTAAAGTTAAGCTCAAAATTAAAGTGATCTAATAAGGAATTAAGTAATTGGGCTTTAAGCATCTAAATAAAGTGTGGGCCGGACTATATGTGTAGAGACCGGATCCATTCGGGTTTGTATTCGACGATGGGCCGAATACATATGGAAATATATAAAGGGTTATGGTCCCCAATCCATATGTGATTTTCTCATTCTTTGTGGCATCACATCAACACAAGAATACAAGAGAAAGCATATGAAGAGGAAGATCCATAAGACCCACAATCAAGAATTAAGATAGAGATTTGAAGCGACTAAATTGAAAATTTACAGATCTAGATTCAAGATTCATTATTCAAGTCAAAAATCAATTAATTAAGGTATGTTCCGCCTTAATTCAGTTTCTTGATGGTTTGACATGAAGATCTTGGCAAGATCATAAAGTTTAAGTTTCAATAAAGTTCCAACAAGTGGTATCATAGCCTATTTATATTAAATCATTAGGAATCAAGTATTTTTAATTTGGTTCTTATATATTTTATGGTTTTCAAGTTTAATAATTTCGGATTTAGATTTATTAAATTTGAAAATAATTAGGTTGATTTTAAAGATTTTCAGAATTTCGGTTTAAAAAAAAAAAAAAAAAAAAAAGTTGATAAAATTTTTTTTATGTTATAGCAGCGGTTCGCTGCTGCAGTTCAACGCCGCTGCTGCTGCATGGAGCAGTGCCGGCGAGCGCTGCTCCGGATTTTGGGGGGCGGTGCCGGCGTGCCCGCCCCCAGGTTGTTAAATTTTGGATTTTCAGCCCCTAAAGTTTAAAATTCATTCAAGTTGGGCATTAAAGTTATGGGTTTTGATAATTCAGCCCCTGAAGTTTTAAAATTAATTATTTTTGGGCTATTTAAAGTCCTGATTTTGTAATTAAAGCCTCAAAGTTTATGATTTTGTTCTAATTGGCCCCAAAGG